ATATTCCTTACAGAACAGATACTAACTACTACTACTTCATATCCCTGTGTGAACACAGTTTGTGTAACCAGGCCAATTAAATATCCCTGTTTGACAATTTAATAATGCTGCATTAACAAAAGGTGGCACCTGTCGTAGCAACACAGGACAAAAGCAAAAAACTTGCCGTTTCCACCAGAAGTAGAGTGGCATCAATAGGTTCTGTTACTCACATAGAGGAGTTGTTAATTATAAGAAATTTCATTGCAGCAGAAGATTTAGGCATTACCTTTGTTTATCCTCCATCTTGTACAATATTGTACTAATCTTTTTTTTTTTTTCTTCCATCTCTTAGATCAAAATCACGCCGCCTCACAGGTACTGATGCAAATCCCGGTGACAGCTGGACAAAACAAAAGCCACAGAAGGCTGTGGGCCAGCTGAGCCAGTATGATCTGATCCAGGTTAGAAAAGATGTGGTTACTCTGCGACAGTTAACTATTATGTAACAGCAGCATCTTTGAGTTAGGCTTCATGTTACCAGCAGTTAATAGTTACATGTTTTCTTGAATAAAGAAAACGGCGACTGAATTCTGCAACATTGACTCTTTAGTGACAGGATGCAATGGCTGAAGCTAGTTTCCCCCCTGCACCATTTGTTATTGGTGGCTACACTATACTGTGTCCAGATAAGTGGTAGAGAGAGATTTGAGTAACACAGGACTTATTGGTCAGAGGCTTGACTTTCATCCTGGGTAATTCGAGCAAAGGATTGGGTCTGTGCTTCGAGGTGAGGACAGGCATATCTGGTTGGTATCAGTCCTCCTACACAAAATCCGGTTCCTCCTATGCCAGAGTCATGTCTCACCTTCCTAGAACCAGTCGATGCCCATGGCCGGCACGCCTCGGTCACCAGCTTTTTCCTGCCACCCACCTTCTATTGCACCTAACCCTACTGTGCTTGGTGGCCCAGAAGATGGTGGCATCTTGCAATTTCTTTGCGCTGTGGTCAAATAGCCCCAGCTA